GAAAAAATCTTATATCTACCCCTTTTTTCCAAAATATTAATTCAAGCAAAATTCATCTTCAAAAAACAAATTCAAAACAAATAACAAAAAATGTTAACTCTTTCTCATGCAAAAATTTGTACAGATAAATATTTGATATTTTTTCAGCAAACCAACTTTGATCATTCTCTTAAAGGGCATCATCAGCATATAAATGTACAGCATCTTTACAAACAGCTTTGCAATCAGCTTTTGTTTATTGTTTTTATTTCATATATTTATTTCATTAACCTGTTAAAGTTGTGCTGCCTGTCAGGCCTAAAATTCCTTAAAAAGCATACCCAAATTTAATTAAGTACTGCTCTCGAACTCTTTGGAGTAAATTCACAAACCTTGTCTCTACGTAAAGTTATCAATGTGAATTTTTAACTTAAGCAGTCATCATTTTTGTAACTATAAATAGTATTTAGAAATTGAAGTTAAAATACAATAAAATCATTAGATATTTTTTGTCACTTAAAGTTAAAAAACTTTTTTTCTATGTGGTTCAAAACATCCTTAATGTGGTATTAAGGAAAAAGAAATATTGGCCTAAATATGGATTACCATCAATTACTAGTTCAATTTTAGTAACAATAAAAGGAATATTAGAGACACAATAAAACCCAGCATGTCCATCATACTACAACAAATCTCCAGAAAACGTCCAAACTGGAAAAATACTGTAATTTCTAAATTTTTCAACATGCAGACTTTACTGAGGGTTTAAATGAAATATACCCTCACCCCCATCATATTCTACCATCTATGTTTACTCAGCAAGATTAATAAAATAAAAGAAAAACAGCAACATGAATTGCAGCTGGGGGACATACAGCAAATCCCCATCAACAAACAGCCAAAATACGATTAAAAAACATACAAATCCTCACTTTTTTCAAAGCAATACAATCCATAAAACTTGTAAAAACACTAGCAGCAAACAATAATGTTCAGTTACATTTTAAAACATAATTTGTCCTCTTTTTCTGACCAAAAGTGATCCAAAATGGTGGCCGAAACAAAGAAATCCTTTTTTTGTATGACATTTCCTGGCCACAAAAATTGCTTGTCCTTGTTATGAAGCACTCAAAACACTTCATAACGATTATATTTCCTCTTTAACAGCAAGCTTAGTCAGCTAAGCCGGTATGGTCCGGTAATGCGTACCACTAAAAGATTCTGTGCCGGTACGCAGTACCAGGAAGAGGGGGGAGCGTCTGTCAACTATAAAGCTGTCATTCAGAACCAGACCACAGCTGCACTTTCTGTCAGAATAGACSTGTTAGCAATGGGCAGTATAAAACACAATTAATCTGTTTATAAATAGATTTTTTTTCTCATCCCACATTGTTTTTGAATTGTCCTTGCCAGCTCTTCTTCCTTCGGCGCTCGAGGCTTTCATAAAACACCAGGCATGGCTGATTCATAATGGCAAAATTAATTTGCCTCACAAAATAGTTCCTCCTGATAAACAATGTATATTGCTTATTCTCTCAGTTTGCCATTTGTTGTTTTGTTGTGATTCTCCTACTACTACAATTTTAAATAAAATGGGTTTTAGTGATAAAGTCTCAGTTTTTTTACTTGATTAAAGTTACATGCCAGAAATTATAACATTTATATTGATTCAGGAATTTTATGTCTGCCCAGAGTTTTTTTTACACGGTGATGGAAGAATCTGAAGGCCATCCATCATTTTGACAAATTTCAATTAACACCCCTGACCTTTTAAGTTTGGAAGAKTTAATAAATATCCAGGTGAGGCAGAAATAAAAAATTCAGTAAGGCCTCACAAGACCGCAAGCTGTGCGCTTCACACTCACACATAGACATTTTCAGCTTTACGCACGAAGTAGGTCTACATCCTAATTCCATAGGTCTACAACACGGAGTTCCTATTAAATCTAAAATAAATAAACATTCCCATCTGATCATCATCTCAGATCAAGACACCATACTGAATGCATCTCCAGGAGCTGACAGTGCATTGAAGAGTTAAGGACAGGAGGCTTTGGAGCGTCTGTGAGGCACAGCTGAACCAGTGTTGCAGCGGGAGCGCATGCTGCGGGATTTCCTCCTGCTAAAGCCACAGTGTGTGGGAAGTCTTGCTGACTTCTGATCAATTTGACTGGAGAAGTGTTTTCTGATTTTAAAACTTTGGCTGAAGTGGTGCTTATTATTCCAGCAGAGCGCGGGTTAGTCTTCAGAACCACTGGTGCCTGTAGATGTAGACTCACTGTGCATAACTTAAGATTTTCCTTAGAGACATTTTATTGCATAAATCAAAGCCATATTTGATTTCTGTTTTATTATATTTTTAACACAGTGGCAGCCGTGTGATGTGACTGACTGCATCTCTGCCTATCTCTATTCTCGCCCCCTGCAAAGGAGGCAGAGACAGAAATAAGGCGGCATTGTCTAATGTTACAAACTGCTGCCACTAAATAATGTTTGCAGATTTTTTATTTTCTTTTTTTTTTGACTTTTCGTAAGGTAACTGAGTCAAAAGCAGGACAGTGTGTATGCGTCACATTGTGCGCGTTGGGCCTGGTGTGGGATGTATGCACTGCTTTTCAGCACCATGTGCATCGCACTCATGTGGCCTGTATTTGTGTGAGGTGAGCTGAGGAGATTTTTTCCAATAAAATCCTGCATGCGCAGCATCTGAGGCAAAACTGCAAAACCAACATGACAATAGCGATGTTCTATTGAATGTTTAGTCATCATCATTTAAAAAGGAAGTGGCGGATGAAAATCGATCATGACAGATTTTTTTTTACCCTGTCACTCAAAATGATGGACAGCAAAAAAGTCTAGTGCAACCTCTGTCTGACCCACCAATATTTTTGCTCTCGAGCTGCTATTGTAAACGACCGGCTGTCAAAACTTGCACCACTACTTTTGTGAAGTGCAGGCAGGGAAAAACCCAGGGCACAGACAAAAATCCAAAGTTCAAAAGAAAGGCTTTAAAAAAAGAATGGCTGTCGAGGCAGCAAAATACTCGAGAACTTCTTAGAAGGAACAGGCATGAGGAACACGGAAACACCACACCGGCTGAGGCAGACAGTACAATGAACGGACAAACACTGAAGAGAGGACACAGAATATAAAGGGAAACTAATTAAGGACAAGAAACACCTGGAGGAGACACAAGAGAAAACGGGTGAGCATGGGCGGGGTCGGAGCAGGGTAGAMACACACAGGGGAAGACAGAAACACCAGAAAAACTAAAGCAAAGACACACAGATCATGACAGCTTTCTACAGGGAGGATTAGTCTACTGAGGACTTCCCCGGTTCGCCAAACACGTTCTTTACTGCACAGCAGTCAGCTGACCGTGCAACCACGGAGTGCACAAGGTGACGGAAAAAAAATTAAATCGTCTTTGTGGCGCTTTCCAACCCCTCAGCTGTCAGAAATCAGATACAAATATTGTCTCTKCTAGAACCACATAAACTAAATCTCTGTTTCTGGCATCTAACAGAGAGATGTGCGGTTCGACTTAAGCTGTCATTRRTCTGTGGAACAAATCTGTCAATCACCAGMGGCCCTGCAAGTGAGGGTGGCCAGGAGGGGCAAAGCCACCCCCACCCCCCGAAAAGCAGTGGCCCTATCAGTTTTATCCTCTTGGATTCCAAACTTTTGTTCTATGCTCATTTTAATTTTGGAAGGTGTTAAAAAATATAAATGTGAATTAAATATGAATAGAAATTTTATATAAGATAAAAAATGAAGCTTAAAAGTCTAAACTCACTGAAAAAGTATAATTG